TGTGTGTGTGTGTGTGTGTATGTATTTGATCAACTCAAGGTGGTGAATATATTTAAACGTATTTATTACTCCTGCTTACTATTTTCCCACAACAATAACCTTGTAAGGTATGTTGGGCTGAGAAAGTTACCCATCCTTTCATGCCTAAGAAAGGCCTAGAACGTCTCCCAATTGGTATAATAATAATAAAAAAACTGCAAAGAAAAATACCCATAGAAAAAGTATGATTTGTACCACATTTTATAAAAAGTTAAGTGTCCAAAATTAAAAACCAATATCTAGTCATAATTCTAAAGAACATCATTAGTCAATGTGACAGATTTGCCACACAGCATTCAACTGTAATACAAAGCTTGGAGTATGTACTACTTACACTGTAACCAAACCAAATAGTTAAAACTACAAGTCACAAGAAATAAAAGAAACTACTGGTTTGCTTACACTGTTTGCGAAAGGATCCATTCAATTGAAAAAGCCATCAAATGTCAATAGATGTATGTAACATCAGATTTCATTTCAACATGCAGAGAATTACACTTGTTTCTCCAATTGAAATGTCCAATTGATATATTACATCTATCCTTACACCCCGAGTTATCATGATTAAGTAGAATCTTCACCTTCAAACCATTAAAAAACTACTTATTCATAATTCATAAGATTACAGTATGAATACACCTATTACAATGTCAATTCAAAATTAGCAACTCATTCACATAAAATGTTCTCCATATTTTTTAAAATACACATTACTTTAGAAAGTAGGACACTGATTAAAGAGGCACATCACTGTCAAGTTAAAAACAATGATTAATATAAAATAGGAAGACCAGAAAGGTGATTAAATGTATTTCTACTGAGATCTAAATACATTATTTGTATGTACACACAAAAACAGTTTGTTAAACCATACTGGCTAATTATTACACTTTTTGCTAAGTCAAATTCAAAAGACATTATGATTATGACTAGTGAATTGACCCTAAATCTTAATTTTTATTTTTTGTTTTGCTGACACCAAGATATAACTGATTTTGGATAGCTCTATAATATATTGTAATCACTATAACATTGATTTCAAAACTGTGATACATGATTTGTAGGAACTGGCTTTTTACTCTTTTTTCATGCTGAACTGATATAATACAGAGTAATCCAGATCTCAAAACAAATTTTAAAAGCCTGTTGTATGGAAAATGTGTTGGAAATAGAAATGTATGCTTCATTTATAAGATGAAGATGATTTTCAAAAATAATTTTCTGCAGTAAAATAAAAATATTATTTGCATAATAGTTTAGCGACATTATTTATATTATTTACATTTACAGCACATACTGACTCACATTTTAAACATAGAAACACCCCAACCTGCATCTCATGACACTAAAAGAGCTCAAAATTACTTTGTGATTTTAACATGTCAAAAACTTTAATAGGTTTTATACTACAGTACATCTTATTCAACAAAAAATATTTCAGATTTACTAAATTACATTGCATTTATATAATAAACACTTGGGAGGTGCAATTAATGCTTCATTCAAACATATTTTACATTGTTCTGTTCCAGTTAGGAAGAAAATTATTACATATGTTAATTCCATTCTGAGACAAGACTCAATAATTTGACATATACATATTCACTGAATCATACTTACAGCATGGAAACTGACACCTGGACAAAGAAAATGGACTTTCCATGTTCTACTTATAACCAAAAGATTCTTCAGCATTAGAATGATAAATATATGCCCCAACTACTAAATACTCTGCAGAGTTTGTTATTAGCAAGTCATCAATAAATTACTTATCAACATAAATTTAATTATAAAATATAGTGATGTAGAACTTTTATTCAAAAATTATTAATATGTACTCCATATGAAATTCTTTTTCAAAATGTTTTGCATTCAGAGATTTTTTTTTTAAGTAAGGAATAGAGAACTGGAATGAATTTTTTATATCGGTAGCATGGAAAATGTAATAAGACTATTGTTTTCAAACCTGTTTTTACACAGGATTTTGTTTATTTGTGGATCTTTATATGTATTTTCTATACTGGGTATAGAAAAACATCCAGTATATGGCACACAAGTAAGCTCCTATCAGATAAATATATGTGTGTATGTGTGTGTATAAAAATATTAATAGTTCTCAGAAGTATTACAGAATCCACTTTAACCTATGAAATGGTATTATTTCTAAATCGAAAGTCAGTATGAACCACACATCAAATTACATATAATTTTCTTCATTTTGTCTAAATGTGATACAGTATATGAATCCAGACACTGAAGTCTTTCAATCATACTTTATGACATAGCTTTGTGTGAATATAGTGAACAGTGATTTATTTCATAAACTATGGCTAAATGGTTAATTGGGTGTGTAAGTCAAGCCACAGCTTTAGCACAAGTTCATTTGAATAACAAACCAAATGTATTTACTAAAAAAAACCAATTGTATTTAATTGGACTTATTTTCAGGTAAATAAGGATAGGATTCCATCTAAATAATGTAGCAATGAGCAAGACTAGCACAGCATAAAAGTAAAAATCATATTTAGACAAGTTCACTTATATTCTAAGACTCTCAAATATAAACAAATACCATTTAGAAATCATGACAAACCAATTAATTAGAAGATTCGTCATTCATCACAGATGCCACACACTTAAACAGCTAATGTTTTTCTAAATATGTAAGATTATGCACATTTACCTGAATCAATTTTTGGGGGGCCTTTACTCCAACCCCCCCTCAGAACTACCTTTAAATTCCCCAAGCCACGTTAAATAGAACAAATATAATCCAAGCAGGATTATATAAAATAAAATACCAGCAAAATAATACATGGCATGGTTAGAATGAAGTGGTTAAACTCAAAGTCAACACACCTGTTAACAACCAATCAAGTTCTTCCCTCCAGCTTCCCTCAGCGTCAGAAAAAGACACGCATGACAAAATACCCTCCATAATGTCCCATTTTGCCTGACAAAATATCCTCCACAGTTTCCTCCTAATAGGAAAGTGAACAAACTAGCAGCAAATAAGGCAGCAACTAGGAATCAGGGGTAGGCAACCTTGGCTCTTTTATGACTCGTGGACTTCAACTCCCAGAATTCCTGAGCCAGCACAGCTGGCTCAGGAATTCTGGGAGTTGAAGTCCACGAGTCATAAAAGAGCCAAGGTTGCCTACCCTTGATACTAGGTAATGAACTCCAGCTCAAAACAGTGGGCCGTTTTCTCCGCAAACCTCATTTTATGCCCAAGCCAACCAAATGCAAAGTTTTTAAGGCGAGGAGGAGGAGGAGGTCTGGAAAGAACCGAGCCCCTCCCCTGCCCTTTTTAAAGAACCAGCCTCCTACTTTGCTTATTGCCTCGACATCAATTAAAAATAAATAAATTCCCAGCTCCTAGACCAGGGGTAGGCAACCTCGGCTCTTTTAGGACTCGTGGACTTCAACTCCCAGAATTCCTGAGCCAGCTATGCTGGCTCAGGAATTCTGGGAGTTGAAGTCCACGAGTCATAAAAGAGCCGAGGTTGCCTACCCCCGTCCTAGACTGAGAGGGACACCAACTCCGGACCTGCGCTGGGAACGGAGCCCCCACCCGCACGCCCCTCGCCAAGGCCATTTGCAAATTAAGCGGCCCAGGAAGGGCCTCTTTCTCGGCACCACCGAAGGCAGCCAGCCCCCAACCCTGCCAGCCCCGTGAGATAACCTGGAGGAGGGAAGGGTCAGGACCAGGGCCTGGGCCACTTTCTCAGCCCCAGAGGGTGACAGTGACAAGGACAAACCCAGAGATCGGTTGGGGAAGAGGGAAACTGACGTCGCGCAAACCAACCCCTCCCCCCCCACGGACAGCCTCCAGCTCGGCAACGGGCGGCTTTCCTACCGCTTCCTCCTTGAAGGGGGGGTGCAGAGAAAAGACAGAAATGAAGGGAAGTCGGTTTTCCGCGTCGACCAGAGGAAAGGGGGAAGCGCCCCCGCGTAGGCTCGCCCTCTCGTGTTTTTTTTTTTTCTCCTTCTCCCGCAGCCGCTACCTCTGCAAAGAGCCATTACGGAGCCATTCTACGTTTCGCCGTAGAAGGTTCCGTCCGAAATTCCTTCGCGTCCATTGCTCGGCTGTCTTCGCCCCCCCCCCCCCGAGTCCCGGAGTGTCACTCTACAGGGGGCGGGACTAAGCCACTCACCTGGCAGAAGCGGTAGCAATAATACTGGCTGCTCAGGGCAGGAGACAATCCGGCGGGAAGGCGCGGCTCGTTAATGGCCTTGAGTTCCTCGCCGAGTCGCTCCGATTCCTGGTCGCTCTCGTCTTCCGCCATGCTGCTCTGGCCGCCCTGCGCGTACCGAGTCTCAGCTCCCTCCCTCCCCCCCCCGCCCGCATCTGCCGGATGACCCGCCCTTTTTCGGCCGCGTACTTCAATTCCGGCACCGCCCCCCGCGGTGCCTTGTTAGTGGCGCGCGGGCTTGTCACTCAAACGCCGATCCTTCATCCTCTGACCTACAGGACCTTCCTCCTAGCGAGCTGCGGTGGTTAAAGCCGCTGATTGGCCGAGCTGCATTCCCTGCTCGAAGCTGAACTTTCAGCAGCACTTTTTGATTGGTGAAGAATGTCATCGATAACATTAGCTAAGCCCCGCCTTTACCCTTGTCGATTGGTCCCACATTTCATCCTTCAAAGTAAACATCTCCGCCTCCTCCTTGCCAGTGGGCCACAATAGCGGCACAACTTCCGTTCTTTCCTTTACGCGAGTGGTGGAAAGTTTTGTCACTCTCTTCCTCGCGGGCCACAGAGAACGGCGTTCACTTTTTCTACCCTCGCACGAGCTGACTCGCTTTGAGCGACGCCTTCATTGGAAGAGGTGTTGCTAGGGGGCTACGTCCCGCCTCCCTCGACGAACCAAAGAAGAGGAAACAACTCTATTCAGCCCTACCATCCGCCGCGCCCCCCCCCCCCCGCCATTCCGTGTGCCTGCCTGCCTGCCTGTCTGTCTGGCAGGCGGCTCCGCCGAGTCTGATCCACGCCATCGCGGAGTTCTGGGGGGGGGCAAGCACGAAGCAGATCGGAGATTTCGTCTCGGTCAATGTGGAAGCCGAACTCCGCGCTGTCAGGATCGGTAAGGGCGAGTCGGAGAGAGAGAGAGAGAGAGGTTTCATTGCACCCAGTGCTGCACTGTAGCCCACCTTGGCTTCTCTCCCCACCCCCAATCCCCCCCCCGGGCGGGGAAGAAAAATTAGTCTAGGTTGTGTGGAACGAGATTGATGGGAAGGAAGGAGACTCAGACGGCGGTGGGAGAGAGGAGTTGAGTGAATGTCAGAAACGGGGAGGGGGGCCCCCCCAGAAAATTCAGGTGATGGAGAAAATGCCTTGCAGAGTCAACGGAGAGGCTCTCCTTTGAAAGGAGGGAGGGACGGCAGAGTGCCTGCTGGAGGCACAGACTGAAAAGGCTGCACCTGATGAGGGACGTTGTCTGAATATTATGGGGATTTCTGAGTCAGTGAACTGTACAGCTAACCAGGGTTTAGGGAGACTGGAGAAAAGAAAAAAAAAGAAGTTTACCACCTTGAAAGTATTTACACCGAAAAAGATTCATCTGGTTTTGGAACAGCCGAGATTTAAAGTCCCTTAAATGTATAGGAAAAATGGAAATGCAAACTCTGAGACCGTTCTCAGCAGATACCATTTACAGGACAGTGTAGGACAGACTATATGTATATTCTGGCAAGTAATCCCACTTTCTTTAATTTTACTTATGCCCAAAGGAATGTGCATAGGACTGCATCCCTGAAAGCTCTTACTAGGCATAAGATCCATTCAAGAGAGCCATGCTGACTTGTGAGCAAATATACTTGAGTATGTGTTCTGAGGCTGCCATACTGAATTTCAGATTATTAATAATTTGATTATCAATATTAATGTTACATAATAGAATAAAGAATAACAGAGTTGGAAGGGACCTTAGAGGTCTTCTAGTCCAACCCCCTGCTCCAGTAGGAAACCCTATACCATTTCAGACAAATAGTTGTTAATCTCTTCTTTAAAAATCTCCAGTGTTGGAGCATTCACAACTTCTGGAAGCAAGTAGTTCCATTGATTAATTCTAATTGTCAGGAAATTTCTCCTTAGTTCTAGGTTGCTTCTCTCTTTGGTTAGTTTCCATCCGTTGCTTCTTGTCCTGCCTTCAGGTCCTTTGGAGAATAGCTTCACCCCCTCTTCTTTGTGGCTGCCCCTTAAATATTGGAACACTGCTATCATGTCACCCCTAGTCCTTCTTTTCATTAAACTAGACATACTCTATTCATGCAACCATTTTTATATGTTTTAGCTTTTAGTCCCCTAATCATCTTTGTTGCTCTTCTCTGCACTTTTTCTCTTTTTATATTGTGGTGACCAAAACCAGATGCCAATAGTTGGAAGGCCACTATTTGCAGATCTGTTTCTAGTTCCAGATTAATGTTGGGAAGGAATCCTTATCATTAGTCATATATTGCAAAATTAAAAAAATAGATATGGTATATGATTTGAATATACAAACAAGAAGCTGTGTTATTTTCAAATACACAACTAAATTGAAAAGAACGGTGCATACTGATCCTACCTTTTTTGTTCTTGAGTGTATCATTTTGAGCAATAAGGCTTATAGGAGGACTTCCACTTGTGTTTGCTTAAACCATAGTTCACCTTCAGCCACAATTCATATACTTTGCAGGTAGGGATCTTGATAACGCTTGGAACATAACTTTACCGAAGACTCAATTTTTATTCAAAAGAAAGAAAATTAATCCTATCTGAAGATGGCTCATTCATTCTAGCCAGGCCAAGCATAGAATCCACCAGTGCAATCATGCACTCTTTAAATGTTAAAATAGCCTTTTTATGCTTGGCAGGTGAAATAAATGTTACACAGTAATTATAATTGATCTTGTGCACATTTTAGCATAAATATTGGATACCATTCTAGAATATCATTCTTGAAAATATAGGCATAAAGCTGGTTTGTTACCTTTTGGGGGATAAGTGTTTGCGTGATCTATCAAGGTATATACTGCAAAACATAGAAGAAGCGGGATAAAATAAAGTTTGGTTCTTTATTTTAAAACTAAATTGCATTGCTTTAGGTAATTTACATGACTAATATCCATGCATTTAATAAGTTTCCCCTTTGTTATATTAAAAAAACCCACAATTGAATAGCAAATTTGGAAAGACTCAGGGGCTGAATCCAAGTCCTTGGGAGGCTATTGGTTGTGTATCACTGAGCTTCCTGATTTTTAACTGACCACAAAATATACTGTCAGGTTGAATGGCCATTAAAACAAATTATCATGAATTTATACTTTCCACAGATAGATATCACAGATCAAGTCACTTCTTTACCATGGATTTTTTTTAAAACGGTCTCATTTTTATATCGTTGTTTTACTACAAAATCGTGATTTATCAAGTCACAAAGTTTAAATATAGGCAACTTTATGTTGTAAGAGTTTGTGTTAGGTATATATTCCTCAAATAACAAGTAATTAACACATTAGAATTAGAAAATAATGATTTTCAAGCAACTACAAAGAGATAAACACAAAAATAGGGAAAGAAAATGGGAGTGCTAAAAGCATTTGACCTCAGTTTTGATTCGGGGACAAGGATCAAGTTCTGGGATGCAAGAAGAATAAAAGATTAGATTACTCTCATGTTTATCTACAGCGATGATGTTGATATTACTACAGTGGTTTTATTCTAGAAACAATTTCTTCAGAATTCAGGAAGCGATGAGATAGATATATGATCTTCAGTTTCCATTGTTTCCATTGTTTAAATTTTATGATCACAAATTTGACAGCTAAATACCAGAAATGATATTCTGAACTTTCTTGAATCACTTTTTATGTGTACTAGTATTTATTTTTGTAATATCTACCCTAAACTATCTGAGATATGAAGAGCTTATCTTCCTTGATTCCTAGCTAAAAGCTAGCCATAAAAGGTTCATTAGGAAAATTAGATTATATTTTGGCAAGTAAGTACTGCTATTGAGAAACCAAGAAATTAAAACAGGTATTCAGTTTGGCCATGATTTTCTTTTCCTTCTTAATATGATTATTATCAAAGCAGCCATTCAAAATGACATTTGTTGGTCGTGTATGTCAGTTGGGCATGCAGCTGCTAATGGATCAAGAATCAGTATAAGACATGGGAGATCTCCATTACTGTTAGAAAGGCACGTTGTTTCAATCTTCCTAATTCATCAGTTAACCTCTTTTTCCCCTTTCATCAAGGTTTTCAACAACCAGAATTGTTTTATTGCATTTCCCAATATAACATATCTTCTTTCATTAATACAATAATTTTTGAATTATTTTTTTCTTTTCTTTTCCTGAGCCATTTAAACCCAAATCATTAACTATTTTAATAGGAAATAAACAATTTAAAATACAAATAGCTTATGCAAGAAAATATTGAAATATTCCTTCAATTTTATAAGTAGCGCAAATATATTTTGTTAAAAAGTCACTCCTATATATGTTCAGTGATGGTAATTCTGTAGAAAACATGCTAGGATTCTAACGCATAGAACTATTTAATTTTTTTAAAAAAAAAATAACAGTAACAATTATGTAATAAATTAAAATCTAGTTTGAAGTAATGTTTTACCTGTGATGGGTTTCTAATACTAATTTTCCAAGGAAAGAAAAGGAAGTTAGGTTTTCAAAGCAGTCAAAAGTGTCTGCTTCATATTTTACTGTGAGGCTGAAATTTGATCTGACAGCTGAGTGGACTTAAGCTGATACTGTATGAAGACTCCTTCTTCAACACTTTGTCATGCTTTCATGTTTGTCCAGAAGAGGTGTGTTCTTCCTCCAAAGTTTCTTCAGTTTGAGTCTTTTCTCTTTTTGTTTTAATATGAGAAATGTGATTTTTAAAACAACATATACACAATTGCAAAAAGAAGCTTTTCAAATTCTGTAAAATGTAGGGACAAAACAAAAAGAAAAAGACCCCTATTCATCTTACTTTTCCTAGTCTGCATGTCTTTGCTCGATGTCAGTAAACAAACAATACAATAATAACCTCTCTGTTAGGATTTCTTTGTACTCTGGTTCTGAACAGAAATGTCTTTTCATGATAAAGAACTCTAGAACCTCTAAGCCATTTGTGCTTATATGATCTTTGAAAAAAACGTCTTCTTCCAAGAAATCCATGGGCAATAGACATGTCAGGCTTTAAAGATACATGCTTTCTGACCAATTAGGGAAGCTGCCACTCAAGTAAAACTTTTGTGATTAAAATGGTACCTCTACAAGCTGTTTAAAAATAAAAATTGGTTTCACATAGTTGTATACAAAATGTGTTTTGATCTAAATCAGGTAAGAAATCCTCCATTTTAAGTGCAAAAGTATTTTGAGTGGGAGTGCTATGAGCATTTTGGTAGTATTCATATTATTCCATGAACTATTCAAGCAAGTTCATTGCATAGTCAAGCTCTGTATTCTTGCAGTTGAAATAAGATTTGAAATGACATGTTTTGGTTGTTCCTGATTTCAAAAGAGCCAATAGAGAACTTATGTGTACATGTAGTACATACATACTACATGTACACATAAGTTCTCTATTGGCTCATACATACAGCATACTAAGTAATGTGTTGGATCTTCAAATAGAGTGGAACTCACTGAACTTGCAAATTGAGAGAAAGCAACATTCACTAATTCCCCTTTCTTTCTGCTACTTGCAGGATTAAATTGTAAAATCATATCTTCAACAGGAAAGTTCTATTAGAAAATAGTTCTCTCCATCAATAGGAGGAATGGATCTGTCACACAAGGACAAAATAATATTTCTTGAAATACCTTACTTTAGCAATCTTTTTGCTTTGCTATGTGGTATCCCTATTTTTAATATTCTGTTTGTTTCATCACAGGAAATGGTATCATATATATTGTCTGCACACTGGTTAAAACATCAGTTATAGCATGCGGTCATGTGGGGGGGG